AGCAAAAAGAGAAGACACCCCAGAAAGTCTGAGATGCAAGAAGGAAAAATGACCAGAGGGAGTGATAAAATATGTAGGTTAATCTAAATAAATACTATGTATATAAAATAATGATAGTAACAATATAAGATTCATGGGGTTAAAAAGATAATTTGCCCTGAAATATGGGACAAAAATAACATAAATTGCAAGGAAGATGATTGGATTTAAAGCTTTCTAAAGTTCTTGCTTTGTCCAGGAAGAAGTACAGGTTAATTTTAGGCTTTGTTAGGTACACTTGGTAAAATTTCAGAAGTAATCAATAAAAATTAGAAATACAGTCATAACTTCTAAACTAAGAAAGGAAAAAATGGACTAAGAAAATAAATTTTTAAAAAATCAAATAATTTTTAAAAGGCAAGAAAAATGAGAAAAAGAAACATAAAATGGGTGAGGAAAATAGGACAAAATATAATGGTATATTTAAATCTAAATTTATCAGTAACTATATTAAAAGTGGGTGGATTAATGTTCCAGTTAAAAGACACAGAATGTCCACAGGAATATAAAAATTTTTTAAAAAATTTTTAACAATAAGAGATATAAGTATATGGAAAAGTTGAAAGCAAAAGGCTGAAAACAATATACTGGGCAAATACTAACCAAAAGAAAGTTAGCATATTCATATTAGACCACATAAACTTTAAAGCAAAAAGCATTATAGGGGATAAAGAGGATCAGTGCATAATAACAAGTGATTCAATATACCAGGAGGATATAATAATTCTAAATTTGTATACACCTAGTAACACAGGCTCCAACTATCAGCAGTGAAAACTGATAGAACTACAGGGAGAAACTGGCAAATCTAAAACTTGTTAAGGCCTTTCTACTCAAACTGCAGTGGGTGGACCAACTCTTAACCCACAAACTCACCATGACCATGCCATCAGGAGGTTAGTACAAAGTGGGGAACATGAGTTTAGAAACTTCTATAGCACTTGACGTCGCTGCAACACCCAAGCAGTGTTTAAAGTTTTTTTTAAATGGAACAAAGTAACAACAGTAAGTAAAAATAACCAAGCTGGTCTTCACCGTAGAGAGTTTGAGAAGCACTCTTTTGTATCTCACGGGCCAAGCAAGAGACCAAAATGGAAACTAAAACATCCTTAGAACCAAATGATAATAAAAAGTATGGGTTCTTGCAGACTTCTCTTGTTAGATTACAATTTACTTTTTTTACCTGTCTCACCACCAGCCTTTGACTCCTCTGGTTGGGAACCATGTAACCATCTTTGTTCCCCTTCTGCTTGTCACAGTGTCTGGCTGAGTAGGTACCCAATATTTAGTCGAATAGTATTTACACTTACATATTTAAACTTAAACACTAAATACATTTAAATATTTGCTCCACTAAAGTAGCAGCCCTGGAACCTGCCTCGACCTATTCCACTCCTACCTTCTTGGCCTCACCCAGTGTCCTGGAGACTCACCAGAAATCTGTGCACTACTTGGCTTCTTTTCACTGTGTCCCAGCAGGCAGCAGCTTAGACAGCCCTGCACCTCCTCATGCATTTTAACAATGAAAAGGAGAAGATAAGACGGGAGTGGAAAAGGTCGTTTCATCATCCATGCTTGGGAAGGTGAGCTACTAGTGCCATCCTTGACGTGAAGGAGCTACTTAGACACAAATTGGATTAACAGGACAGGATTAGAGCCTGCTGGAAGGTATTACATACTTACAAACTGCTCTGTGGAAGCGCCTCTTGTTTTCATTACAGGCCTATACTCTACAGAATCACTCAAATGAAATACGGAATTAGTTAATTACTAAAAAAAGAAATAAAATGAAATGAGATATAAAGTGAAGTGACTAAGTTTTAATAATACCAAGGAAGTTGAATTAGGCACTAATAGTTCAGTTTAGCAAAACTATAACTATGTCATCTGAAACAAGAGTTTCAGTATGGTAAGAAATAAAATCACTAAAATGGCCTCTATCTCCTCCCATCAAGAGGAATAATATTCAAACAAGAAATATGATGAAAAGTTGACTTCAAGAAAGAAAAAGAGAATATGAGCTATGTGAGAAGTTTCAGATTTATCTGAACATTTCAAACGAACTAAAGTCCCTAGTTTAAATATATTAAAATCCCAAGACACTGAAAGAATTCATAGATGTGAACACGGAACTCCTGTTGGTAATCTTTGAGAAACCATGGAGTATACAAAGGTGACAAAAGATAAAAAGAAGCCAAGAAAGGGGGAAAAGGTGAATTATGGACTACGCCAACAGGTAAGGCTGATTCCTGGGAAAAATTCTAGGAGATTCAAATTGTGGTTCTGTCATTTGATGGCACTGTGACCTTAGACATATTTCAAAACTTTGCTGTAAGGAGGAAATGAGATAATTAAAGCAGTTACTATAGCATCTCTTACAAAGAAAACTCTCAGTAAATGGTAGCTACTCAGTAAATGGTACCATTTTTGTATCTCCAGCACTTCAAAGCAAAGGTGGTAACAACTAGACAGAGTGCTATCAGTAGACAGGGGTTCTTCAAAATCAAGTCTCATCTACTTAACCTCATTTTTTCTGGCGAGGTAGAGATGGGGGAGAGAGAAGTTACTGCTAGAGATGTAGATCAGGAAGGTATCCTCTTTTTGAAATGGCATTAGATAAAAATCTGTTACACTATCCTTGTGAAAAGACTGGGTTTTAGCAGAGTTGGGTGACTGAATAATCATATTCACAGAACTGACTCATGAACTTGACCTCTCCATGCTTCAGCTTCCTTATCTGTAGAAGGAGTATAATAATAGTAATTCACTGAGCTCTTATACAAATTAAAGTCCTCAGAACAGTGCCTGGCATTTAGTCACCACTAAATAATGTTTGTTAAATAAACTTAAACAGAAGTTTCTAGTGGCATGCTTGTGCAGCACTTGGCTCCAACCTCTTCAGAAACTTGTTAAATTTGCATACAGTGTGCTGGTCAAATTCTCAGATGGTATAAATTGGATGATGAAATCAAAATCCAAAAGGACCCTGACAGGCTAGGGCTATGATATGAATAATACGAGATAAAATTAAGTCCTGGGTAGAAATTTTAAGGGAAAAAATTGTTTTACAAGTACTAGCCTGGCTTGCCAGAATTCTCTTTGAATAAGGAAGAGAAATTTAGTTGACTGCAAGTTCAGCATGCATAAAACAGTATGCCTAGCAATTAATTCAAATTTTAGCTGCATTAAGAGAACTGGAATGTCCTGACTATCTGGACAAGGGCACTGTCTGGACAGAGATGCCAAGATGGTGGGCACAACTTGCCATCATAAATTCTTTTCTCCCTTTCCCCTCGTTAGGTTCTTCCTAAGTCGTGGCTCTGGGTTTAAGGATGGGCTTCAGAGCACAGATACATGGTAAGGAAACACGAGGTAGGAATGGACCATGTTTCCAACTCATCTGGGTAGCAGGAAACATCCTCAGGTGGATATGGGAAGATGGCCTCAAGATTTGTAAAGAGATACAATTAGAAGTTTATCAGGGCATGTAATGGCTCACTGTGCTACACGCTAAAGTAAATTCCCCTCTAATCATGATTACCACAGGATTTATCTAATCTATTTCCTATAGGAAATCAAGCTACTACCAGGCATCTTATCAAACTTATTCCTCGCAATAATCCCTGTACCTGACAAAAGTAGATTTTGTCACCCCACAGTATAGATAAGAAACTGAAGCAAAGAAGTAAAGTGAATTACCCGGGGCCACAGAGAGCTGGAATTACAATTCGGTATCTAATCTCAGAGTGCCCTACATGAGTTTTGGAAGGGAGCATACTGGATTCACATAATGTCCTTCAAGAAAAGCCCTATTTACCTTAATCTCTGGGAGAAAGAAGCTTAATTGTATTTAATTTAGTGCATGTCAAAGATGTTGAGTAGACGCTTTAGATTCCACGTGTTTATTCTAATCCTTTCCCAAATACTTGTAAAGCCTTGGTTTGACCGTTAGAAAGATGCTGAAAATTAACTTTTTTAAAAAAAATTAAGGCAAATATTTGTTTGCTAGAATCTTTAAGGAAAGCAATTAATCAAGAAAGTTGTACAGTTACAACCACACCACTTCAGATCACTTAGGAAAACTATCCAAATAGGTACAAATCCAGACGGCCAGCAGTCCCTGTCCCCTCAGCCCCACAATCCATTCCCAGCCCAACCTCACCGTCTTAGGGACTGGATAGATAAAGGTCGAGTGAAAGCATGTTTTTAACTAAAAAAGTTCCATGCAAACATCAGTTATTGCTATAATGATTTACGTGTTTCACCTAATTATTGAACAAATGTGTGTTCATTATAAAAACCTAAAAAACAAAGTTAAGCAAACCAAAATGAAACAAAAAGCACCCCCTATTTCACTACCCAGTAAGAAGATTTTGTACCTGTTTGCAAATTGGGTATTTTCTAAGGCTCATTTCTCTGGTCAGGCCATGAGGAAATCAGCCAAAAGCTGCAACTTTAAGATTCTCTGTGTAGCTTCCCTTTAACTAAGAAGGGAAAATGATTTTAGTGACTCTTCCATTAAAGGCTATCTTTTCTTTTATTGGCACTTGTCCCAGAAGAGATAAGACCACTACTCAATATACCTGGCAGTAAAAAAGAAGAAAAAAATGCCTAATTGCATCTTATTCATCTGAAAAATTTACAGCACAAGTCTAGTCATTTACTCGAACCAGCAAATATCTCAGCCAAAATGGATTGACTGTCTATCTCTTTATCTACACGCACAGTCACATATACTGAAGGTCATGACTTTAAAAATATGTTGGTTGGATTCTTCCTGTCTCTTGCAGAAAAGAGACATACACATTCAGAACACATGTGAGGTCTGGTCAAGAATATATTAGTAATCAACAAAAGGTGAATATGGTATAATCTTTCCAAATAGTGAGCAATGCTACCAGGAGAGCACCAAAAGTCAATTCCTTTTTTTTCCCCCATTAGAAGGAAAAATCTGCCATTACCTTTTTGTTCACAGCCACACCATCCTCACAGTCGAGCACCGCACAGTCTACATTCAGGGAGGGAATCTTCCTTATTTTCTTTTCATCATTTCCAGGCACATAGAGCACTGCCCTCCGGGGAGTGTACTTGTGACTGGGTGAGGAACTATGTCCAAGTCTGGACACATCAGCTGCCAGAGAGGCTTTCCTGTAGGAGACATGATTAGAGTTAGTCCAAAATAGAATTTATTTACAAATTTTTGAAATCAGCCCTGTCCTTAATAGATGGAGCTGTATGTCATGAAAACCTCAGTTAAGGAAAGGTTAAAGCCCCAGCACACAGGTAACAGCCTCGTGTTTTACTCCCCCAGGGTAAACAGCATCATCCTTTCAAAAATATGCCAGCTGCGCTCTTCTTGAAAGCTCTCAACATTTGGTGGTTATCCTAAGTTAATGCTATCAAATACTTCACATGGTTATAACATTTTCCCATGATTAGTGTTCCTTGGGACAATATATCTAAAGAAACATCAGTATCTCTTTGGTGGCCTCCCAATTGTGTATGGGTCCCCTCATTCTTTTTTGCAACCAACCCTAATAAAATCTAAAACTTGAGTCTAGGTCTTATTTTTTCCACAACAGAAGCATTGTGCTCTGTGAGGTATGGTGAGATACAGGTGGATTTTAAAAGTGTACATGTCTTCCAAGACACCTTATTTAATATAAAATATATTATGGCCAGATAATTGAAGAATGTCTGAAGTATCTGTCATTGTTTTGTATTGATTGAAAATACGTCATTTATCTAAAAAGGGGGAGAAACTATAATGCTGTAACAGCAACAATCTCATTTTATTTATTCACACTGGATACCAGAATTTGCAATATATAATTTCCTTTAAAATGGTAAAAAAAAATGCAATTAAAAGAGATAAAATTTTTATTTAAATGCTTGGGGCAAAATCACTTTTCTGGAGTATTTGTTGTAACTGAATATGTAAAAGCCAGAGAACTTCATTTCATGAAAATTGAGATTTCCTCTATGTGAGAGAGCTTCTAATCACCAATTTGGATCCAGCCACAGTGGTCTCTGAGCCACATCACCTGAATCTCAAAGGCTGAGCCACTCAGACACAGCTGGCACGTCACTGACAGCGTGACAAGTCATACCACAGTCACATGCTAAGCACTAGAGCAGATCATCCCCAGGATGTTTATATGATGTGTAATTTTTAAAACAGATGATGATTTAAAAGAAAATGTGCTACTGTTGAAGATGTTTCTGGTTTCCCAGATTAAACTCTCCTATAATTATTAAAATGTTGTTTTCCTCATATCATCCACTGCTCAAAAATTGTCAATAGCTCCCCATTACCTGCAGGATTAAACTCAGTCTCAGCTGATATTCCTTTTCTCAACTGATATCCCACTATTCCCGAGTTAAAACTATTCACCCTAGGAAAACTGGATTATGACCGTCTCCACAATATGCCCTATTGTTTACACTGTATCTTTGCTTCTCCTGTGCTTCTGATGGAAAAGTATTTCCTCTCAGTTTATTTGAAACTTAATGGATCTTTCAAGCTCAGTTCCAGGCCTACCTGAATGCTAAGCCTTTTTTTGACCACTCATCTGTAAACTTTCTTATCCTTAAACATAGCAGTTATCACTCATAACCAAACCAGAACCAGCAAAGGATTGGCTCTGCCATCATGGCTAACGTTAATCAGGGGCACAGGCTTTCTGGAAAGTCAGTGGATGTCACAAATCAAGAGACTTAAAAAAGGTGCCTGCTTTTTGACTCAGTAATTTCAACTAATTTGACCCAATTCCTTTTAAGAACAGCTATAGACTAAAATGTTTGTGTCCCCTCCAATTCATATGTCAGTATGATCTTCAGTATGGTGGTATTTGGAGGTGGGTCATTTGGGAGGTGATTAAGTCGTGAAGGCAAAATCCATGGGATTAGTGTCCTTATATAAGAGACACCAGAGAGTTCCCTAGCCCTTTCTGCCGTGTGAGGACATAGTGGAAAGACTGCTATCTATGAACCAGATTCTCTTCAGACACTGCACCTGTCGGGGCATTGATCTCAGACTCCCCAGTCTCCAGAACCATGAGAAATAAATCTCTGTTGTTGATAAGCCACCCATCTATGGTATTCTGTTATAGCTGCCCAAGAGGATTAAGACAGGACTCTATCTTAAGAAAATGATCAGAAATAAAACTAGATATATATAATATTAAGAACTGAAAACAATCTTTAGGTCAACAATAGGATGAATTATGGTACCTACAGTCAATGGAATATTATGCCTTCATTAAAAACCGTGTTTATAAAATAGTTAATGTTGTATGAAGATTGTTCTTTTTAAACAGAGGATATAACATTATATATGCAATAACATATCAGCTTTCTAAAAACTGCAGAGAAAAATATCTGAAAAGAAATACATCAAAGCGTTATTAGGGAAGCCACTGAACTGTAGAATTTGAGATTAAGATTTTTCTGCTTCTGCACACTTCTTTCCTATTTCGCACATTTATCAGAAAGAGCATCACTCTTTAAAAAAATCCTTTTCTAACTGGCTTAAAACAAACCAATTAAATCATTTAAACGACCTCAAATGGCAGCACACTATAGTGGGTAAGAACCACCTATATGACATTGCTGATATTTGACCATTTTGACCCATAAAAATGCTAGTTTTACGTGGTTCAAAGCAATATTGTGAATGGCAGTCAGAAGGTGGAGTGAGAAGCACGCAAGACAGGTCAGTTTCCTCTTGGGTGAGAAGCAGCATAACCGCTGCCTCACACGGGGGGAGCTCCCCACAGGCAGCAGGGCAGCGTGTACACGCACAGCTACTGTGACTGTCTGACTGTCACCCGTGCGCAAAGCTGCTCAGCATAGCCCAGCATTAGGAACCTTACTGGACACAAACGCCCTCAGTGAGATCACAAGCTTGCTGAGGGAGAGGTGACCCTACGTCTCCCCCACGTTGCTTAGCACAGGGTCTTGCACGTGTGAGGTGTGCAATTTCTGCTACCTTGTCACCCAACCAAAGCCATTTCTCCGGAAGTGAGTGTGTAGGACTGATCTGCAACCCATACTGTCCATATTTTTCTTGGGCAAGAGTCCAATTTTAGTGGTGACTACAGGTAGGAGGTCATTTTTATTCCCTCTCTCCTACGCCATTGTGGAGCTTTACCCCAACGTGTGGCCTGTTGCTTCTTTTATGTTTATCTCCTCTTTTCTGTAAATACATTTGATGCCCTAGTTTAGGGCTCGTTAACCTTTACCTAGATGACTGTGGAAGCCTCTTACTTATCCTCACTGCCTCCACTTTGTTCTTTCGTTCGTACAATCAGTGAGCACTTAGGACGCACCCACTGGGTGACCTGCACCGGGCCTCCACCAGCACAGCTGGCAGGCCCCTCTGTGCAAATTAGAAAAAGGTGCCCCGTCAAGCCTGCCAGCAGGTGGAAGGGCAAAGAGGCACCTCTTGCTCCTGAAGCGCAGCTTTGATGACTGGAGACCAGCTGAAGCTCAGCCCCACGTGTGGCCTCGGCAGGCGCCCCAACCAGGACACACCCTGCACAACCGCATGCAGTGGCCCTGACCCGCACTGTGCTGAGCACTGGAGGGAGGCGACACAAGAGGAACAGGGCATGCCAGGAAGGCCCGGGGGGATCACCCAGAGGATGGCCTGCTAGCAGCTCAGGAAGGCTAAAGTCCTGTACAGAATGAAGCTTCAAGAAAGATCAAAGGCAGCGAAAGTGATTGGAATAATAAGAAGAAAAGTGTAGAGGGGGTCTGGCCTTTGGGTTCCGTTGCAGACTCTGAGGTCCCGGAGGGGGCTGTCGCTGGGCAGGTGGCAGAAGCCTGTCATGGCTCCCCAAGCCTCCCTCTTCCCACAGTGCTGGTGTGTCCTCTCCTTCCCCCATCTCTGGCTGTTTCAAAATCTGTTCCCTACTTGAGTTGTGTTCAGCACTGACTACTGCATATGAATACAACTGCAGTAGGTGCAAGATCTAACTTATTTTATTTTATCTTATATATTTGGAGTTAAGGCCTCTTGATAGTCAACATGTAAATACATTCAAACAATATGCAAAATAGGGGCTTAAGATGAGTTAAAAAAATCTGGTAGCCTCATGGTGAGTGAGTTCTCTCTACAGAGGGACTTTTTTTAAGATAAGACATCCCGGAGAGGTTCTGATGGGAGGTGGGGGGGGGTCCCCATCCTGGCCTTGTTTTGGTAATCTCCCTTTCCTCCTCCGCCTAATGCCATTCATTAACCATTTATATCATAGCAGGCATAGCTAGTTCTTACTGCTGCCAGCGTTCTCCACCCAGAACTCAATAAAACTATCACCAGGGGAGCTTTGAAAAATTGTCAAATTCTGAACCCCACCCAGTGCAATCTACCATCATACATGGGCACTTGTTAGAAATGTAGAGTCTGGGGACCCCAGCCCAGTCCCGCTGAATTAGAAGCTGCATATTAAACCCCCAGGGCATGTTTATCTCATGGACGGCTGAGAACGCTGTTCTAGGCTGACTCAAACTTGGGGGCATAGTGGAATCACCTGGGGAGCTTTAAAGTCGGCTCAGCTACAGAAAGTTTGGTCATTGGTCTGGGGTAAGGCCTCGGCTCTGGGACTCCTAAAAGCCTCCTGGTTGACGCAGATGTGTAGCCAAGTTGAAGGACCACTGCACTAGATGCTAGATGATCTCAATGTGTAGCCACTACCCTAATGCAGGAAATTTTGCTCCAACAAAAAATTTCTTTTAAGTGAGTCATATACTACCATTATACACAAGTAGATGCTTGAAAGTAATAAGATCATAACTGAAAATGCAGCAAACTTGGAAAAAAATTCATGTTTAAAGAAAAACCATTCTGATAAAATTGACAAACTGCTAACAATATTTGAAATAGCAGCAATAATCAACTAATCTCATGTCCATTTGAGGATCTACAATTTGGTTTGTAACTTCTTTTTTTAAGCATTCTTGCAAGTTTTTATTTATTCATTATAGAGATTTTTTTTAATTGAAGTATGGTTGATTTACAGTGTTGTATTAGTTTCTGGTGCACAGCATAGTGATTCAGTTATACATATATATATATTCTTTTTTCATATTATTTTCCATTATAGGTTATTACAAACTATTGAATATAGTTATATGCTATATAGTAG